GCACTCCAAAATGCTGTGGTTAGTAAAACTTTAATGTTTGTGGGTAGAAGAGGAGAAAACATCTGGATTATTATCACAAAACCTTGCAGCAGTTTGAATCCCATTCCTTAGGTTGTTCTTTTTGAGTTTATTTTGGCAACACTGAAAATGTAGGTCTGACTTTTCTACCCTGTTTCTTTTTGAGCCTTTTGTTACCTGAAATAGTTCCCACCAAGAAATACTACTGAGATCTCCAGGACTATAAAAGAGCTATTCCTGCCTTCATTATTTACAGTAAATTTTGTTAGGCACTACCTCTTCTCTGATCTTTGTGACCAATATTGTCATGGAGAAAATTTGGCATTTATTCACCTTCCAAACCTCTGAATGTGTAGCTCCAGAATAGAACAACAGATGCTTTGGTATTGCTTTACAGCAGTAAGACAATCAACCAAGAATGGATTGATGTTTTTTTCTGGATTTCATTCTTCCCAAGGATATTGACTCAGGAAATAACCCTTGAAGTACATCTGCCCTGCACAGTATTTCTATCATGGCTTTGCTGTAGGCAGTTTCTTAATGGCAAGGTATGACCTTATACCTTTAGCAGAATAAACTGCAGGTGTAATACAGAGAGTGTTTATTTCTGTCTGTCTTCTATGGAATGGAAAAAATTCCCTTTTGAAGAATGCAGATTTCTGTAGTGAACTGACATTCATTAGATAATACATAAGAGCTCCGGAATTCTAAATCTTCCATTGCTTGTCTGGGATTATTTTATTTTATTTTATTTTATTTTATTTTATTTTATTTTGATGTGCGGAACTAGAGGTAGAACTTTGAACCAATAAATACTAAATGACACTAAGAACAACCTTAACTGACAATATTTGTGTTCTCTTAACAGAATCTGGTTCTGCAATTACTGCTTCCTGTATTGGTTTGGGGAACTCTACAACACCTCCACCTGGACAGGCAGGAAAACCAGTGCCAGGATACAATGGTAAGACTGTGCTAAACATGATACTAGGAAAGGATATTGCTTATATTCCAGAGTTAAGTGCTCTTTAATTTTCATACCTCATAGAGAATGCAAATTACAGTCTTATTAACACATTTTCCTCTTTCCTGTAACAGGAAGCTCTGCTTTTTTGTGTTGTGGAATGTGATTGTGACTAAGAAATTCAGAGTTACATTTAAGAAAATTGATCAGCTACTCATACCTTTCTTATAAGAAAGGGCTAGCACATATTTCTACACTGGATATAAAAAAGATAGATATGAAAAAAATACTGTGCTTTAAGGCTTTTTTTATAATTGCACTGTTTTAAATGACCAGTAATAAAATTTGTATTGGCAAATCAGGAAGAAAAACATTAGTAATAACTATCAGCAAAAAAGGGAATGTTAACTAGACAAATAATTGCTGTAACTTACACTTTGAGTGTTCTGTTATACCTGTGTTTTCAATTTTCAGAGGCTAAATAGTTTTGGTTTGGGAGGTGTACATCAAATAATTATGTCTCAGAGATACACTGATTAGATTGATTAGATTTTTTTTGGCCCCACAATTTTATATGAGAAGTATTCTGAAATACATAAAGCAAATTCTTACTGAGGTCTGTGTCTTCCACAAATACATCATAGTGAGCTAACAAGCAGGTTGGCAAGGATATAAATCTTCTATTTGGACTCATCTCACACTTTCTTGAAGAAAATCAGTCGGGTTTCTGCCTTTTTGTACAGGTATAGGGGCTCATATTTGAGAGAGTTGTTAAGCACATTATCTTTCAGTACTTGTGGAGCATTTTTACTTCCAGCTGGGAGAAATGATAGGCTATGGACCAACATTAAAAGGATGAGAGCTCATTGTCTGGAAGGTATTTACATGCAAAGGGTGCAGCCACAGGATTAAGAATGCAAAAATATTTTCATACCTGGGAAACCTGATTTTAATACAGTTTTCAAGAATTACTTGAAGTCCGAAAAATAATTACATTAAACATCAAACCATCTTCAGGAAAAGTTGTTACATCACTTGGCAGAAAGAGCTAAGCTGTTTTTTTTTCTAATTACATACAAGCGGAAGTGAACATTAAAGAAAAGAAACTTTTTCAGCAGCTCTGGGTTTTGGCGTTTACAGTTATGGCATGAAGACAAGCAGTAGCTTAAAAACAACATTAAAACAAAGCTGCGAAGTTTGTCCAGAGTTGTAATAAATAGGGAAGAGTGGAAGAATGTAACTGCATCACATGTGCTATCAGATGATAGTCAGGCCTAGAAAAAAGTATGAATAGGAAAAATATTAAAATTTCCTACGAATTTTTTGGAACATTGGGCCTAGTGTAAGTAAAGAATTTCGTCAGATAGAATGAAGGAAATGTCTTTAGCATGCCTTAAAAGGGAAACATACAATGAGCACTAAAATTCACTAACAACTTATGAAAGAACTTTACTTCTCTCAGTCTTTGGTTTGAGGCCAATTATGTCCTGTAATGCAGCCAGTCATAAAATAGTGGATCTTGAAATTACCCTGTACTGGCAGCTGTCTTGCTGTCACTCACTTCTGTGTTGATGTTGTTTTACTGCTATTACTATATTAATTAGAAGAGATCCTTATGCCATTTAGAAGATAGATTCTGTATTTTTAGATGATACATGCAACTGTTAATGGTTTCGGACATTGCTAAAGTTATGTTGTATTTATGCTGTGCTATAAATAGAAAGTTTCAAAATCTACTTTTTTTTTTTTCCTAAACACAGCCAAATTCTTTCCTGTCACAGTATTGCTAAAATAAACTGATTTCTTTGCTGATTTTTTAGAATATAAAGAATAAAAGCAGTATTTAGCTATGATATCAAAGTGCAGTGGCACAAATTGCATTTAAAAGTGAACCAAGATACCATATTAATTTCTAGCTCTGTTGCCTCAAATCAGACATTATATTGTGCTTTCCCTTTGATCTACTTTGAACCCTTTCCAGCTAATTTCATTGCACTGTTTTCAAACTGAAACAAGTCCCACATTTTGAAGAATTAAGTCAGTTCTTCAGTAATCCAGGAGTGAGCAGTATAGTACATTTTTGTACATTGAAATACACTGCTTGCAAGGAGGACAATGAATGCTGGAGTTGCTACCTTGATAATAGTTACAATAAACTGATTAGATTTGACTTTAGCATAATAAAAATAGGAAAAAATAGGAGAGAAAGCATTGAAAGCTACTTGTGAGTGGGTCTTTTTCATTGTGTGTTCTGAGCCTAAATTCTCTAAATCTAACAATATTATGTTCTTATGCATGTTCTTATACCATCTAAAATGTATAAGTAAAAAAAAAAGTGTTTACAGATTATAAATGGGTTTTATTTATGCTATTCTTGCTGTTTTTCATAAGTTTATTCTGTGTGTCCATTCATCCTTTTGATTTCCTATCCCAGTTACTCCTTCCAAGTCACTGATTTGTAAAACTGGCCTTGCGTACTTGCTTGTGTCTATGTGCTGAGCCATTGCTTTCAGCAGGCTCTTCAGTTACTTAAAAATTACCATCTTTTTTGAAGGAGTGGCTTCAGCCAGAAAGAGTAAATTAGTCGTTGGCATTCTTTGGACAGATAGGGTATATTACTCATAAGAGTGTTAGCAGGGTTTTAATCAGAAGTCTGTCATCCTTTTTCCCCATTTCCTCTGGAACCTTTTAATACAGAATGTAAGATTATTTGTAGTACTTTAGATCGAGCTGAACATTGCTTTCTTTGCTTGGGCAGGCTTCAAAAACCATGTTTTTAAATCCTTGTCAGCCCAGTCTGTCAAAACCTTCCCTCCCTGTTTTTCCATGGTTTAGTCATTTGACTTTGTTTAATTCCATGTATCACAAGCCAAGCTGATACCTGCCATTCCTTCCTTATGCCCACACCTTCAGGTAGAATGGGTGGTTGTAGTAGATTTCCCAGGTGACTGCATGGAAGAGGCTATTGCAGGTGTTTTTCCTCAGAAACCTCAGTACCAGGATATGATGCTTTCAGTGAAGGCGATGGGCCAGTGTCATCCAGGGAAGAGGCTTCTGTTGGGAGGTCTGGATTCTTCGCTGTCCTCTAGCATTACCTGCGCTGCGGCTTTGGGTGGTTCACGAGTTACTTTACCTCTTTGTGCTAGAGGAGAATAAGCCTTGTCAGCGGGGGAGCATTATTCTGGGTATCCTGAGAACCTTTGAAAACCAGACACACTTACCTACTGCTAATAGTATTTCTCATGTTAACTGGGTTAGCCTCCAGTAATCTTAGTTGTTACTTCTACTCATGTTACCTGCACGCTTTTTCTTGGATTTGTCATGTATCTGAAGGGTCCTTTGCTGTTTGGAAGTTTAGATTTTCCAGTATGAAGGTATCTTTTAATTTTCAGTTCTATGTTTTTCCCTTTTGGGACCTTGTGCTATTTCTGCTCCCAAAGCACGAGTATTATTCAAGACTTTTTATACTTAAGGCTGAATGTTAATTAGGTCATGAGATTATCCAGTTTGGCACTCCCAAATTACTTAATTCCTTTTGTTGCTTGGTGTATTGCCATTCTGAAGTGTGACATAAGTTGATATGCATGAAGAAAGACGCCGTCCTCCACCTGAAAATACATGACTTACCAGGAGTCCTCTTCCTGTATTACTTTTTTACAGTGATGATTCTGGATGAAAATAAGGAACCAGTGAAGGCGAAGACTTTGGGAAATATTGTGGTAAAGTAAGCAAACTAAGTATCTTACAGTTGAGAAGCTTCCTGCATGGGTTGATTGTCTTTTGACTGAAGTTTTTATATATATGTATTTTTATATATATATATATAAAACAATAATTGAAGTAATGAGGGTTGAAAAGCATGCCTGCCTCTGATATTGATACCAAACTGCCAGAACTTTTTACGTCCATTAATGTTGAAAAATTGCAGATGAACTTGTGTGAGTGAATGAGTGTGGATTGCTGGGGTTTTTTTTCCTTAGACTACAGCAAAGTTTACCATTTTCTTAATTACCAGCCTGTCGGCACAGGATGAAGCCTTCCAGTTGTGATGTATGAGCAAGATATTGAATCATTCTCTTCGCTATTTTATCTTTCAGTTTAGTGAAATAGTACAGCAGTGCAGATTGACGTGCTTTGGTTTACAGGTGTGATGCTGCCTCCTCTTTCACTATCTCCTAATCCCAATTGATGCACATTCTTAGAGGGAGAATGTATATTTTCTGTTCTCTGTAAAAACAGCAAGATGTCTCTGCATGTGCTTTGCATGAAACAGTGTTCAGTTGTGGTAGTACTTGGACAAAATACATACAGGAAAAGACTCCAGCAAAAAGAGAAATCAAAAAAAGCCCTGCTGTTCATCATGTAGGTGATTTTTAGTACCATTTACCAGACTCCTGTCAGATGAGTTCCATAAGCTTTAATATTCTTTTTGAAAGTACACCTTTCTTAGCACCTTGTCTCGGATAAAGGGGCCTCTGTTTAGATAACATTGTGAACATCAGTTACATTTCTAATATCTTACTTCTGCTGTCTCACTGTTGCCAGAACAAATCCTTACTTCTGTAGATCTCAACAGGCTACTGCTCCCCACAGCCCATGCCAGCTCTGGATTCTGGATGTTTCACAGGCTTCTAGGGAAATGACATTTTTTCTCAGACAGATACCTACTTTGTGTTTAACACGTTAGCTGTAGTCTTCTCTGTTTTCAGTTACAGAAAATACTTCAGCTCTGAACACTTCCTAACTGCCAGCAAATACAAGTCCCAAAAGAAATGCATTCATCCACTTCTTCGGTCATAAAATTTAGGGGAATTTGGGGAGTCTTCACTGCTTGCTTAGTTGAATGGAAGGAAATATGAAGATTAGCATTAACCTTCAGTGAACCGAAATTCTGTCAAAAGCCAAAGCGTTGGGAGAGGTGTACCAATTCTGATGAGTTGTTGAAGAGAGAAGTTAGCCGAGGATTGAGGCAGTGGCCACGTGAGCTGGAGATGAGATGCGCGAGAGCGACAGGCGCCGGCTGAAAATGCAGGCGGGCTGGCTGCAGAGCGCTTCCTTGGGAAGGTACAGAGGTTTTTTGCTCAGCTGTACTACTGATCGAATGTGACTAGACCCCCGTGGAGACTAAGACAGTCTCACGTTAAGTTATTGTACTGTGTGACACAAACGTTTGTTTTCAGGATGAGGTCTATACCCTGCCTAATTTTCAGCATCTTGGGCTAAGCCACCAGACACACAGGCATGTGTTTAAGTGCACACATGGTCTCCCCCGAAGCAGCAGACTCGTATTTAGACGTAGTTTTCCTGTGACATGTGTAAGATTGTGCATTCATTCCATTGCTTAGTATGAATAATTAAAATTGCTCCAGGCTTTAATAAGCTGTGGTTTGCAGTATCCATAATCCAGGTCACAGTGGAGGGCTATCTTTTGAAGCTCTCACCTCTGTAGTGCCTGATGCCATAATAAAACGTAAGTTTGTAATCAGTGGAGAGAGAGAAAGATACTTTGTAAGAAAATTGATCATAGCTGTCTTAGGTATTCAGCTAGGATGGAATAAATTGCCTACCTGTGCTCCTGTCTCTCCACTGACTGCAGGGGTGATATAGCTAGCTTAGGATAGATGCTTAGCATTATCTACCAAAAGCAAAATAAAATTAACTCCATCCTTAGCAACTCTGCCAAACAACCCGAATTACATCTACTAACAGGTAATGTTGGTAGATGTGTGCATACGTTTCTGAGTTGTCATTATCTTTAAGTGCCTGTCAGGAGTAGATATTGCCATATTAGAAGATCCTGTTTGGGCTTATTGTCAAACTCTTAAAGCCAGAATTTATTTTCCCTAATGTGGCCCCACGTTTAGGCATTTATCTTAAGGGATTACAAATGTGTTTATATATTGACTTTTGTTGTTGTTGTTGATGTTTGTTTTGTTTTGTTTTATCTTGACTTCTGCTGCAGTCAAATAAATTGATAGGGAAAAGGGGGGGATTTTGGGGTTTGGGTTTTACTTTTGGTTTTGTTGTTTTGGTTTTTTTTTTATTGGATCACTCAAGAAAGAATAATGGCACAGGGACACTATTATTTTATCATGTTCATATGTATTGTAATGTCCATTCTGAAATAGGGGGGAGAGCAGGGGGCGAAGAAATTAAATTGTATCATTAACATAGTTGATATGAAACCAAGTGTGAGGTAGGTTAACTATCACCCCTCTTTCTCTTCCAACCTTTTTTCTGACTTACTCTTTTGAGAAAATAGGCTCTCTTAAAATTCATTCTGCAGCTTAACCAAAAAAAACCAAACCCCAAAACCAAGGCAAAGGTATTGATCAGCTTTAGGAGGCCAATTGTGGATTTTTTAACACTTCCAAGGTTTCAATCTGTCAACTGTTAACAGAAGTTGGTTTTAGGATATTACGGTTTGCAGCATCTTAACATTTTGTTCCAGGTTTCCTGGTAAGTGACAACTTTCTGCAGTGTTCACTTGGTTTTTTTGGTCATAAAAATCTCTGTCCGTTAGGTTAAGGCATCACATATTTTTTTATCTTCTGCTTCATTCAGCTAAGCAGTTATTTAGCTGTAAACTTTTTTCATTTTTTGATTAGGGCTAGTTTTCATAAAGCCCTCCTGCAAAGAAGCCTTTCTGCTCTTCATCTCTTCAGTAGGCTTCTACAGGTACAGACCCCTTAAAAATAGCGGGGATCATCCTTGTTACTAGCAGTGTTTGTTGGTGACCCCAGGGACATATCCCCATGCAGCTGGAAGAAATGGGGGACTCAGGATAGTTTCAACTACTACTCTGTCATACACTCAGCAGCAAAATACAGTGTACCATTTTAGAAAAAAACCACAAGCATTTGCTTTATCTGCAGCATATGTGAGTTGAGAAATATTCCTCAGTATTTCTTGGATAGGAGAGTGGCCACACACTGCCTACAATACCAGCTGTGCAAAAGTGGTGTGATGCTGCTGCTCTTCATTATTTTTATCCCAGTCTAACTCCCTGTAAAGACTACTGGGGGCTGCTTGAGGCCTGTGGTGCTCATAAGTTTAGTATTTAAAATATGCTTGCAACAGAGTTTTAAACTTTAATTTTATCCTGCAGGAGTCAAATACTTTAGATAAGTAATTCTTACACCTATTTAGCCCATCTTTCTACCCCAAGTACGTTCTTTTCTTTACTCATCTACCAACTGATACCTGGGGTTTTTTTCATATAACCATCATCTGTGCCTTTTGGAAAGATTTTTGCTGACAGGAACTCTCATACAGGCTAATTTACCTAGACAACACAGTAAACTTTTTGACTTCACAAGTCTCTCAGGATAAAGTAATCAAATACAGTGTCACAACATTTATGATGAAAGGACAAGGGAAAACGAAGACGACTGCAGCTCGTGAGAGTATGCTTATATGAATTGTTTCTAAAGTTACATTTTTTTGAGCTAGAATCTTTGGACATGAAAGATAATTAACCGAGGATTTATTCTGAAGTGAAAATGATAGCAGCAATGACCTCCGCTTCCATTAGTAAGACCAGTCTGATTTAGTGACACACTTCTGCTTGCATTGTTCTCACCTGCCTGTAATTAATACACACTTGAAAATGTGTGTGTGTGTGTGTGTGTAATCATGATTAGCCATGAGAATTTTTAAAGTTATCTGTTCTCATAAGGAACATTAGCAAAAAGAAATCCAATTTAAATTCCAGTGCAGTGGGAAACTCAGTTTTGCTCTTGTACATTATAAAGATCACAAACCCATTACGTTTTTTTTATGAAGCAGTTGTTGGCACTGTCTCATTAGCTAGCATTATTCTTTATGTTCACTCACAACAGCAAGAGGACTACATTTGCCATATACTCATTCTATCCAGAGAGTAATGCCTGTCAGTAAATTTCCTGGTAGATCCTGGTTACATTTCCTCTAGTGTTTGTATAGTTAATTTTGTGCCATAATAATGGAGGTTTATGGGATAAGTATTTACAAATTTCTTTTACTGATAAATATTTGTGTTCCATATTCAGAAAGAGGTAAGACAATGTAGATACATCATACAACGATTCTGAAATGCTTTGCTTGTGTTGGTTAAATTGCATTTAAGAACAGTGACTGCATGAAAGGTGCTGCAGACCATTAATGTTGTGGGGTTTTTTTGTGAATTTGGGATTAGTGGAGGAAGAGGAAGGAAACTTATAATGTTCTGTCAATAGTTAATATGATTGAAATGATGACCCACCCCATTATATAGAGTAAAATCATGCAAAACTTTCTGTACAGTGCTCTAAGAGTGTAAAGTATTGGAAAATAATATTTATTCATGAGGTTTTATAAAGAAAGGGTCATGATAAACTTAGAGCTTTTCATAATTTTAGATTTTAAGTTAGCTGAATAGAAATGTGACAGGAGTTTGAAGCAAATACCATAAAGTTAATATCCTTTGGTGGAAGAGATATTGTTCAGAATCAAGCAACCTATTCATAGTTTCACTATTTGTGGTACTGTGTTCAATCTTTATACAGTATTCAGAGAGCAAATAGACGTTCAATAAAAAGCTTACTTATTTAGTATTTCTTATAATGCATTAAAAAAAAAATAATCAGTGTCTACATGGAAGTCTGAAGCAACCAGAAGCCAGGAATGTAGTCATTAAGATGCACAATAGAAATGCTAACCAAAAGAGCTTAAAGGAAAGAAAAGGGAAAGAAAAAGATGTAATCT